AGCCGAACCATGGCTGTCCCCAAGCCCCACCAGCTGTCCCCAAACCCCTTCAGCCCAACCATGGCCATCACCAAGCCCCACCAGCCACCTCCAAACCCCTCCAGCCCAACCATGGTTGTCCCCAAGTCCCATCAGCCATCCCCAAACCCCTCCAGCCCAACCATGGCCATCCCCAGACCCAACCAGCCAAAAGCCTGGTGTCACCAGCAGACTTTGCCAATCTCCCATCCACGGCCGAGATGGACCTCCCCATCCCGGCAAGGCCACCAACACCACAACGTGTCACCTAGGGCCACCAGCGACCATACCGGACGGTGTGCGCCCGGGCGGCGGAGGACTCCACCGTACTCCGGCTGCCGGTTGAAGCCTTCTCAGCCGTCTTCGAGAAGTACCCCGAGAGCTTGGTGCGGGTGGTGCAGGTGAGTCCACGTTGGCTGACCACGGGTGGGGTCTCTCGGGGTGGCAGAAGACCTCTGATGGCTTCTTGTGCCCCCCTCCCAGATCATCATGGTGCGCCTACAACGCGTCACCTTCTTGGCTTTGCACAACTACCTTGGGTTGACCAACGAGCTCTTCAGCCACGTGAGTTCATGGCGCAACTGGGGGGACACCGGGCCGGATCTGGACCTTCTCCCCCAGCCCCGTTGATGTCCCCCCCACCTTGCAGGACATGCAACCGCTGCGGCTCTTCCCTCAACCCCGCCAGCCCGGCCCGCCACGGCAAGCGGGGGCTCGGCGGTGCCGATGAGGGCAGGGAACCGGGTAAGAGCTGGGAAGGGGGTGCTGGGACCCCCGCTCCGTGCCACCAGCGCCATGGTGGGGTGCTCAGCTGCTGGTGGTGCTCAGGGTGGTCTCATCCTGCAGCCGACCTGCTGAAAGCCGGAGGGCTGGAGACCCCTGCGCCACCGCCGCCGCCGTTGAGCCGCTGCATCTCCATGCCGGTGGATATCTCCGGTGGGTTGGAGGAAGGAACGGGGGGTCCCACCCACCACGTTCATGTGCCCTGTCCCCATCGTGGACATCGGTGACCCTCCCTGGTGCCCTCCCTCACCCGTCGCAGGCATCCAGAAGGGTCCTCGCTCCGACTTCGACATGGCCTACGAGCGCGGCCGCATCTCGGTGTCGCTGCAGGAGGACAGCACCGGCGCCTTGGCCGCCTTCTCCAGGGTAAGGCCGGATCCGGTGACACCGTGTCCACCTGGTCCACCACGGGGTGGCTGCGGGCATGTGCCGGAGCCGTCCCGTCTCCCTGCAGTCCGTCTCGCACGAACCCAAGGAACGCAAGTCGGTGACGGTGGAGGAGCAACCATCTGGTGTCTACCACTACAACTACTGCGAGGACGACGCGGCAGCCGGGGACTGTCCCTTCGGGCCCTACCAGGGCCGCCAGACCAGCGCCATCTTCGAGGCCGCCAAGCGGGAGCTGGTCAAGCTCATGAAGGTGGAGGTGAGGGCGGAAACGGTGCCGGCGTGGAGGAGTTGTGGCTTCGTGGTGGTCCTCTGTTGCGTTGTGGTGGGTTCCCATCACTTCGTGGCGGTCTCCCGTTGCTTCGTGGTGGTTTCCCGTTGCTTCATAGTGGTCCCCGTTGCTTTGTGGTGGTTCCCATTGCGTCGTGGTGGTCCCCCATCACCTTGCAGCGGTCTCTCGTCGCTTCATGTTGGTCTCCCATCGCTTCCTGGTGGTCCCCGTTGCTTCGTGGTGGTTCCCATCACGTCGTGGTGGTTCCCTAACACCTCGTGGTGGTCTCTCGTCGCTTCATGTTGGTCTCCCGTTGCTTTGTAGTGGTCTCCCTTTGCTTTGTAGTGGTCCCCGTTGCTTTGTGGTGGTCCCCATTGCCTCGTGGTGGTTCCCCATCACCTCGTGGTGGTCCCTCGTCACTTCATGTTTGTCCCCTGTTGCTTCATAGCAGTCCCTGTTGCTTCATGGTGGGTCCCTGTGGCCTTGTGGTGGGTTCCTGTCACCTCATGGTGGATCTCCATCACTTCGTGGCAGTCCCCGTGGCCTCAGGGCGGTCCCCCATCTCCTTGTGGTGGTTGCCATCACTTTGTGATGGTCCCTATTGCCTTGAGGTGGTCCCCTGTCTCCTCTTGGTGGTCTCCCATCACTTGGTGGTGGGTTCCCAGCTCCTCGTGCTGGTCCCTGTTGTTTCATGGTGGTCCCTGTTGCTTCGTGGTGGTCCCACGTCCTCCTGGTGGTCCTCTATCTCCTCATGGTGGTCCCCATCACCTCACGTGATGCCCTGCTTCTCTCCAGGACCCTTCTCTCCTCAACAACCGTGTCTTGCTCCATCACGCCAAAGCCGGGACGGTCATTGCCCGTCAAGGGGACCAGGTGGGTCTGGGTTTCGGGGAGCTGGTGTGGCACCTTGCTCCCCCCCACCCTGTATTTCCGTGGGGTGCTGCTCTTCCTACTCCTGCCCTGTGGGTGGTGGGGGACAGGAACGATCCCCAGAACCATCCGGAGGGTGCGGAACACCCTGTGAAGAAGACCAGAAGAAACCCCAAGCGGTGCTGGTGGGATCCCTCGCTCCTGGAGGTCCCAGGTGGCCCCCAACGGTGACCGGGCGCCGTTTCGGCAGGACGTGAGCCTCC